TTTTGAGACAAAGTTTCACTCTGTTGCCAGACTGGAGTGCAGTATCTCGGCTCACTGCAACCTCCGCCTCCTGGATTCAAGTGATTCTCCTGCCACAGCCTCCCAAGCAGCTGGGACTACAGGTGCATACCACTGCACCTGTTTAATTTTTGTATTTTTATTAGAGACGGGTTTCACCATGTTGGCCAGGATGGTCTCAATCTCCTGACCTTGTGATCCACCCGCCTTCGCCTCCCAAAGTGCTGGGATTACAGGCATGAGCTACCGCCCCAGCTAGTCCTTCTCGTTTAAAGGTCTGGCACACAGAGTCAGCTGGGCTTTAAACTGGTGCTCCTCTAGACCCTGGAGAAAATGCCAATATCAGTCACCGTCTCAAACACCATCAGAAAAAAGTCCTGAGAGATAATCGGTTGAAAAAATGAATATTAGAAGAGGTTTTGAATCCCACATGCAATTTCTCAGGCAAGTAAACAGTTCATTCTTGCGTGGTGACATTAATGATGTTAATGTCAAATGAAAGGCAGTTGGAAACCGTAGGGTGTTCTAGAACAATTAGGTACTTTAATCCATCAAAACAAAGAAGAAGAAAGTATAAACAGTCAAATTCCTAGCTTATTGGCTCCTAAGATTCCTAATAGCCAGTGGGAGTGGAGAGGAAAGATTCCTCAAGTGGATCCAGATCCTACAATGATATTCCTAAGAGCATGAAAAGTCAGCCTGCATCCTTGTTCTCACCATGTCAATGGGATGTCGCCACCACCCAAATACCACAGGAATGGCTTGATTTATTCTTTCCCCTGGGTCATCCCTTAAAAAACAGATTAATGTTCAAATTAGGAACAACTTAAACATTCAGGTGTGACGTTAGCATTTGGTCACATATTTGCTTGGGCTGTTTCTGCCATAGGTAATCAATCCGATGGTATTAGAACCCAGCTTTGGTTCCCGTTCAGTCTGGGCTCCATTTAAACAGAGTTTCTCATTCATTCATGCCCAGCCCTGATTCTTTCATCAGTCAGTTTTTCTGTGGCTTATGTAGGTATGGTGCAACCTTAGGCCATCCCAGATAATTGACTGATGGACAATAGTGATGACTTGTCACTCTCAGCTGTGATCCACATTCATAAAGTGGCTTATCGGATATTTCCTTATCAAATCTTTACAAAAACCTGAAGAGGCCGGTATTATTACTAGCTCTATTTTGTAGATGGGATGCCAGCCTATATGTCAGACAGACCAAGTTTCAAATCCTGGCTCACTCTCTCACTGTGTGACCTTGGGAAAGTTACTTAACCTCTCTGTGCCTCTGTTCTGTTATCTCAAATTCATGATGTCTACATCGTCCTTGTGATCCACATAGCCCTTTTCTGGTGTATTACTTTGCCATCCCAGGCTCTGGGATAGAGCAGGTTAGTGAGATTCTTGTGGTTTCTAATTGACCAATGCATGTCAGGGAAGTTTCTGGGTAGATCCCAGGGGTGCCTCTCTAGCCAGGGGTTTCTAGATATAAGGTCATCAGGTAACTGCCTAATTTAAGACTGAAGTTTTAAAAAGGTCACTGTCAAGTTCCAAATCACCATTTCCTCAAAAGCCTGAGCCAGTGTCTTGCCAGATGCTGCCTCTGCCACAGCGCAGGGTGTGGGACAGCTAAAGGAGAGTGTGAATTCGAATCCCTGCTCGGTACGCAGTGGCTGTGAGGCTTCAGGGAAGTTACTTAACTTCTCTGATCTTCATTTTCTTGGTCTGTAAATCAGATGAAAAATATCCTTCTTGCCAGGCTGTTGTGAAGATAAAATGAGTTATGTTATGTGTAGTGCCTGATGTGGTGGCTTCTCACTAAATGGTATCTTCTTAATGGGTTGGTTTCCAAAATTTTGAGAAAAAGCATCTGTGAACTAAAGGTAAATATTGAAAAGTAGTACCAGAGCTTTAAAAAGTACAAATTTGGCCCGGTGCGGTGGCTCACGCCTGCAATTCCAGCACTTTGGGAGGCTGAGGCGGGTGGATCACCTGAGGTCAGGAGTTTGAGGCCAGCCTGGACAACATGGTAAAAACCCTTTTCTACCAAAATTATGAAAACTAGGCAGGTGCGGTGGTGGCTCCTGTAATCCCAGCTACTTGGGAAGCAAGAGAATTGCTTGAACCCAGGAGGCAGAGGTTGCAGTGTACCGAGATCACGCCGTTATACTCTAGCCTAGGTGACAGTGAGACATGGTCTCAAAAAAAAAAAAAAAAAAAAGTACAAATTTCTTTTCTTTTCTTTTGTTTTTTGAGACAGAGTCTTACTCGGTCACCCAGTCTGGAGGGTAGTGATCAGGGCTCACTGCAGCTATGACCTCCTCAGGCTCAGGTGAGCCTCCTGCCTCAGCCTCCCGAGTAGCTGGGACTACAGAAAAGCACAAATTTCAAAATAATATAACCTACATTTATCGAGCACCTATCATGTAATGGGCATAGTGGGGAGACAGGCAAAGTGATAATGATCACGATAGCTGTGAGAACAACCTTCTGGGATCAGGAGGAGCTTCCTGGAAGAGGAGCTACCCAAGCTGAGACAGGAAGGATGATGCTGGGCCTGTCTGAAACACCCGTTACCATTGGTGAGCACCTGCTATGGAACATGAGCAGAAATTCAGTAGTTGAGGAAAAAGGTAGGAAGGACATTCCAGGAAGTTGGGAAGGAAGAAACAGATGCTTGAAAGATCAGGGTGAGTTTAGGCAAGTGTAGATGGTACTGGGGGCCGACGGCTGGGCAGAGATTAGAACTGGAGGCATGAAGGCAATATAGGAGGCCCAGAAATCCAGGTAGACATAAGAGAGATTGAGTTAAAACATAAATACAGAAATAGTGAAGAAGGGGCCGGGTGAAGTGGCTCATGACTGTAATTCCAGCACATTGGGAGGCTGAGGTAGGCAGATCACGAGGTCAAGAGATTGAGACCATCCTGGCCAAGATGGTGAAACCCTGTTTCTACTAGAAATACAAAAATTAGCTGGGGGTGGTGGTGTGTGCCTGTAGCACTAGCTACCCGGGAGGCTGAGGCAGGAGAATCGCTTGAACCTGGAGGCGGAGGTTGCAGTGAGCCGAGATCGCATCACTGCACTCCAGCCTGGTGACAGAGCGAGACTCCTTCTTAAAAAGAAAAAAAGAAAGAAAGAAAAAAGAAATAGCGAAGAAGGGACAGAGTCCACAAATATCTAGAGGCTAAGTGCTTGGAGGCTGATTTGTTTTACAGGGCGAGGGACAGGGAGGGACCTAGGGTGGCTCCCAGGTTTCTGGCATGAGTAGCAGAGCAAGTGGAATGCTGGGATGGAACGTAGGAGGAGGAGGGCTTCTAAAATGAGGGTGAAGGCCGGGCGCGGTGGCTCATGCCTGTAATCCCAGCACTTTGGGAGCCTGAAGCAGGTGGATCACTTGAGGTCAGGAGTTCAAGACCAGCCTGGGCAACATGGGGAAACCCTGTCTCTATTAAAAATACAAAAATTAGCTGGGTGTGATGGCACATACCTGTAGTCCCAGCTACTGGGGAGGCTGAAGCAGGAGAGTCTCTTGAACCTGGGAGGCAGAGGTTGCAGTGAGCTGAGATTGTGCCACTGCACTTCAGCCTGGGCAACAGAGCGAGACTGTCTCAAATAATAATAATAATAATAAAATAGAATGAGGGGGAGAGTGGGAGAGGGAAAGGGGAAAGAGGGAAGGGGGCAAGCTCTCTTTCTGAGTATGAGGAGCCCAGGGTTGGAGAAAGGTCTGGCTATAGCAAGAGGACTGGGAGACATCCACAGACAGGTGGTGGCAGAAGCCATGGAGGGCCTGAGCCCTGAGAAACACCAGCACACTCAGGAAACATCCCAGGGGCTGGAGGAAGCCAGGAAAGCATGGGTGTCACGGATGCCACTTTTTGAGGCACTAGGTCAGCAGGTCGAATGCTCCAGAGAGTCAGCTAAGAAAGGAAAAGCATCCTCTAGATTTGGCAATCAGCCACCAATGACACTTTGCCAAAAGCAATTCCAATAGAGTACTGGAGGAAGACGTCAAGTAGCGTAGAGGTTTATTTTTGTTTTACTGCTGTTTGTATTGGAAATGGGATCTCACTCTGTTGCTCCGGCTGGAGTGCAGTGGTGTGACAGAGGCTTTTGAACAATGCTGATCTTTGGCTGGACTTTGTAAAGAAATTGAGTAACTTCTGCTGTCTGCTGGTACATACACTGCCGCAAGGTCTGAGAAAAGCTGATAGGACAGAGAAGAAATAGTGAAAATTCTTCCTGTTTACTACGTGCAAGCCTACAGTCAACATTATAAGATGCCCAGTTGGTTTCTTTGAACTTGGCTTATAGCCCTAAAAAATAAGTGTGTCTTGAAGGCATGAACCTTAAAGCTATGAATGGAGACTCTCAAAGTATCTAGTCTAGCCCAGAAATGGGAGCAGCGGAATGCTAGACCTAGCTGTACTCCAAACACTGAAGTCTCATTAATACCTAAAAAGCCTGAGCCAGCTGTTTTTTTCTGTGTTTACCTTTATACAATTACATAATGAAGTCATTATGGAGCCCAAGGTAGCTTGGCTTGAGCCTTGTGTGAATTGTGGCTGTCAGCCCCTGGCATATATTCCTTAAAATTCTTAAAGAAGACGAGTTATTTATACAACACTTCCCGTTGCCTGCCATATATCATAACTGGCACTTAAAAGGACAGTCTCAATTAGGTTCACAAATCTCTTTAGTGGGGGGAGTTAGCATTTCTCAAATTGGCTGGGATGGTTAAAATTAAGGAAAGAATAGCTTTATGTTGCCATGGAGGTTAACGTGTCAGTAACAAGCCATATTGAAAGGTGCCTGTCGCTCAAGCTGGTATAGACCCTCGTTCCCTAATCATCTCTGGATATCATGGAAAATCCTCAGTATTTTGGAGTCCTTGAGGTCTGTTTGTGAATAAATGCCACCTGTGAGTGCCATGTGGTGGACAGTGAGTCTTTGACAGTTGCAAATCCTTTGACCGACAATGCCACCAACACTTCTCACTTCTGGAGACCTCAGAAGCTCCTGGGAAAACCCTCAAGGTGTAGATACTGGGTGGTGGATGCTAGAGAAAGAATGTGTGGATGGACAGGATGGTGAGACTGTGAGAGCCACTCAGGAGTCTTGTCATCAGCCCAACTCCCCCATTTTACAGATGAACAAGCCGAGTGTCACAAACTGAACACTTGTGTGCTGCCAAAATTCACAGGTGAAAACCCTACCCCCTAGCTCGATGGTATCAGGAGGTACGGCCTTTGGGAGGTGATTAGGATTAGATGACAGCATGAGGCCGGAGCCCTCCAGAATGGGACTAGTGTCCTTTTAAGAGACCTGAGAGCTCATTTCTTCTCTCATGAGGACACAGTGAGAAGGCACCGTCTATGAACCAGGAAGCAGGCCCTTGCCAGACATCAAATCTGCCAGCCCCTGCATCTTGGACTTTCCAGCCTCCTGAACAAAATATCTGTTGCATATTTATCTGCTGAGAAATAAATATCTGTTGTTTAAGCCACCCAGTATGTTGTATTTTCTTATAGCAGCCCGAGCTGATGAAGACACAGACGTTCAGAGAGGAATGAAGGGAAATAAGCTACTTGCGAAGGTCTCACTTGAGTTTCAGACAAAGTTGGACTCCTGGCCCCAAACTCAGGGTCCTTTTCACTGTAGCTTGAGCTAACTTCCCAGCCCCCTGTAATTTCTTCTCTGCGAACCACACCCTAATATACACAGCGAACTCTACTTCTCCACTTACACACCCCCATGGTCTCATCCAACCTCCTATGATACAGATGGGAAAACAGACCTGGCAAGCAGCAGAGACGTGCCTCCAGTGATCTGGGGCAGAGCTGGCCACAGAAGGCAGGCTCCAGCTGCTACCAAGAGCTCTTCCACCTCCTCACAACAGAGCTTTACACTTCCTAATGTAAACAGGATCTCAAACGAGAACGCGGGGGTGCAGAGACATGAACTGACTTGCCAGAGGTCACAAAGCTAATGAATTGCTGATGCTTACTTGGATATCTGGCTTTCAGATCCCGAAACCAGATACTCACATGACTCTCTCATTTTTAGCGAACACAGAAAAGGCCATTGTGACTGGAGAAAACGGGGAGGTGGTACAAGCTGATATCAGAGAAGGAGGCTGGGATCAGATCGTGTAAAGCTCGGCAGGCCGCGGGAAAGTGCAAACCAGCTCCTGTTAAGAGGCATGTAATTGGGCAGGGGCGACCTGAGGGGCTTCCAGGAGGTAGCGGGAGAGTGCTCCTCCAGCCCATTCACTGAAATGCTCCAGAGTGCGGGGGCTCTGGCCGGAGGCCTGTGCTTAAGACAATTGGAAGCTAGGGGCGTGTCAGGGGGCGGGTCCGGGTCTCTCCTCCCCGTCAACTCAGCCCAACCTCCTCAAGAGAAATTGGTTGTTCTTGGGTTCCTCGATAACCGCAAACGGAAATCCAGGCCTCTCAGTGTCCCGCCCCGAGGCTCTAGGACAGAGGGGAGGAGGTGGCTGTTGAAAGGTCTGTCCTAGCTGCCGGAAGGAAAAGGCTGGGCGGGCGGAGCTGGCTCCCCACTACCAGGATCGCTTGCCCAGGTGGTGGTCTTGGCTTGGGTGGGGCCATGGCGGCGCGCAGTAGCTGGGACCAGGCCATAGCGAGAGTGGGGTGAGCCCCAGAAGCCCGGGGGGGCCGGAGGAGCTTGAGGGTTAAGCCCAGATCCGCCACCTGTGCACCCTGAGCTCCTGAATCGTCAGTGAATGCTGAATGACGTGGGCGGGCGGGGGTGGGGGGAGACCTCCCAGAATCTCTGCCCTGTGAAATATAAATGGTATCAGTGTGTATGTATTGCTCTTCCACTTGCTTTTTTCACTTAGTATGTCTTGAAGAGTGTTTACATCAAGGCAGGAAGAGCCACGCTAGTCTTTAAATTGCTTCATCACACCGAATTACCAGAGTTTACATCACATCTTCCCAAGCTGACATCTGCTATCAGTAGGAGTCCTCTAGTAAAAATCTTTGTCATTCCATTTTGAATCCGTATTTATCTAAGGGGTTGAGTACTGGCCTGCCGTGAACTTGCCTTGTGCCTTGGGGCAAGAATTTAACCTCCCTGAGTGTCAGTTTCTCTGTGTAAACGAAGAAAAAAAATTAATTACATGCACTGCAACACACACACCTGGCCCTTGTTGGCTTTTATCTTGCTTGATAAATGAAGGAACAGACTCAAAGGAAGTTAACTTACCCCAAATCATACAGCCAGTCTGTGGCAGAACCAGTACCAAAGTCTCCAGATTTAGAACCCAAGACACTTTCTTCCACCCAAACAACAAAATACCCCTCTTTATTCTGTAAGGCCGGTTGCCTCGCCTGGAGCTCGGGCCCGCCATCCCTCTCCACCCTGAAAACTACGTTACCACTCCTCCCTCAACACCAAGCCCTGCAATCAGCATCTAGCTCC